GGGTCTGAGCAAAAGTAGCAAACCTGCAGCTCTCAAGACGCATACAAGGAATTCCGCTGGAGGAATCCGTCCGTGCTGGCAGATGTGATGCCTCTGGGACTGGTGAAACCCTATCCGTGTCTCAACTCCACTCCCTCACCCGGATACCTGTGTTGAGGGGGAGACACCCGGGACTGGTGTCAGGTCTTGTAGATGTCTGTGATTTTTCTGGGGAGGTTGGAGCAGGAGTCACCTGCAAGTCTTTGCATCTGAGATGTCCTGAGCCTCAGAGGAGCTCCAGCTGAGCTGTGCTGTGGATCTGAGCTGTGTCAGTACCATGGGGTGTGCTGGAAGCCTTCCTGTGGTCAGAAGAGTTCCTGTACATCACAGAAATGCTCCTTCCTGACCAGTGCCCTGCAGTTTTGCAGGATAAACTGAATGTCTCTGCTGAGTTCCTGCACAGAGTGGGGTGATGCTCAGGAGCACTGCGGGAGGGGAGCCCTGTACAACCTGGGATTCCTTACACACTGTAGGAATTTTGTCACATTATGGTGGCAGAACATGATCAGACCCTGTAGAGGGATGTGTCAGGCTGATACTGTGTTGGGAGAAGTGTTTTCAGGTAATCTGCAGGCCACCAGTGGGACAGTCAAGCAATTGAGGACCCAGGGCTGTCCCCAGCATGAGGGTGGGAAATCTTGTAGTTGGAGAAGAGTAAGAAAATCTAATGTGAAGTTCAGGGAAACCATCACAACCAGTGAATTGAGACCAGAACTTATTTTCAGACTTTCTCCCATTTTCCAAAACACTGTCATGACAGAAGCTTTGGGGAAGGTCTAGGGGACGGATGGGACCAAAGCAGTGTTTGGTTTCATCCATTGTGCAAGGGAATGCAAGGCCACAAAAGACTTTTTTGTGTTCATATAACCAAGGCAAGGTCACTTTGTTATGGTTCTCAACCAGTGTTTTAAAATACTCAGACAGACCCCAGTCCTATTTGCTTAATTGTTTGCAAAATTAGTTTAGTTTCTTAACAGATACTAAGGGGTGGAGAGGGGAATGGGCAGGCTGTGATGATGATTTCGGGTGTTGTTGCAGTAAGAGGGTAATTCAAGCAGCAATATTATATTGGGGAAACAGTGTTTAAAAAGAAAATCAGAAGGTGTTTGTGTAATGTTGACTTTGTTTCCATCAATTTATACATCTTCGCTTCAGATTGTGTATCCCTCTCTAGTACTGTAGTAGGAAAAAACAAAAGGGAAGAATTTCCTGACTTAAGAATAAGGCCCCTGTGTTATACCAGGAGTGATGTGTTCCCAGGAATGGCTCTCTGGCATTGGCAAACTGCCTCAGGTGTATTTGTCTTTTTTGAAGACATACTTGCCTGTGAAGTAACCAGTGTTGGTGTTTGGTTCTCTTCATGTTTTAGCTATGAATGGAGGTCGTTTACACTTGCCAAATATTTCAGATTGCTGGCCCATTTCTGAAAACATCTCTTCTAGTACTTGATTTGCATTTGATTATTATTTTCCGTGCTGCATATTTGAATGTGCTTTTTAAAAGCAGTTGGAAGTGCCTAACTTCTCTATTCCCCAGACTATATTTTGAATTAATAATGTAAAAAGGGCCTGGTAGAAACTTTGCCCTTTCATACTCTGTTATACTTGCATTTTTAGAAGATTTGGATAATTTAAATACATTTATGGTGTATTTTAATCTTTAATGGCGTTTGTCAACAACAACCTGTAATTGTGCAAAAGTTACATGTGTTTTTCTGGTCATTTAAAACTGTCATGTTAAGCTGTGTCTTCATCACATGGTCACCATCTTCCCATAGTTTGGGGACACCCTGTTTCTCCCATCCTCTGTAAAGCTCAGAGCACAACTGATTTCTTTGGCTGCCTGAGGCTTAAAAAATTCCCAGGTTCTGCCATGACCTCATCACTGGGGATACTCTTGATCTCTCCAGCTCTTTACTTCCAGCACCTTATTTTTGAAGCTTGTGGACTTTCCCTTCACATTTTAAATTGGATACGGGCTGTTGGAAAGCAAACTGCAGCACCCCTTTGGTACAGCAAAGTTCACCTGGAATTTATTAAAGAAATTTCATCAATAAGTGGTGGCCATGGGGTTTGCAGGTTGTACAGCCTGTAATGCAGTTTTACTTTTGTGTTGACAAAATGATCTCTTCCTCACTAAGCACAAATGTGAAAACATCCAGTGAATATCAGTTACTCATAAGAAACTGGATTGCTCTGAAGTTAGTGCTATTCTTCAGAGCAGTCTGGGGTTAAAAAAGCAGAGCAGGTTTTAAAGAAATAAGCTTTCGATGTATTATTTTCATTGGAAATGGTCAATTGCTACTTTGGAAATCTTAATGTATATTTTTCAGATGTCCTGAATTTGTGTCTTTGTCTTGTGAGGAACTTGAGGGAAATGAATACAGACAAATTATTTCATAAAACATGTGAAATGGCAGTGGATTGACAGTTAAATCTGGAATAGTGAATACAGTCAATTTTCCCCTTTGTTCTGTCAGCAGTCACTTGTACTCTAAATGTCTATTTAATTTTTTAAGTAGATTAACGGGAAATGTTTGCATTATTTGATTATTGAATTTACTTTCCCAAATAATATATCTTTTCTTCAAATATTTACGTGATCTTGAAAATGTTTTTCCAGAAGGAGAAAATGCTAAAAATGAACGGGGAACATATTTTGAGTTATTTGTGGTATAAGTGCATAATGCTTTGCCAGAAATCATTGTACACTTGCCTTTTGGTGGGGAAAAAAAGCAGTTTGTCATCTGTACTGCCTTCCAAAATTAAATTCAGCTAATCCCACCTTTTTGAGCAAATAAGCAGCAGATTGGTCTTAAAGATGAAATTCAAGTAAGCTCTTGATATGTGATATAAAAAATAAATAAGCTTAATATGTGAGCAACAGAGAGCATCTCAGTGATAGATGATAACACAGATTACCTTTGTTGTGTTCGTAATTAGGGTGGGCAGGGAAAGGAGAGGGAGAGGGAAGCGTTAGGAAATGCTTTTGTTTAGTCCTGTGTGGTTGGTTTTGTTGGTTTTGTTTGGGGTTTGTTGTTTGGTTTTTTTTTATTTTGGCTTTTTTTTTTTTCCCCTGCTCTCCGTGCGCAGTGCACGGATGAGGAATTGTATAGGAAATTTGCAGCTGCTCTAGTTATTCAGGAAGATTTGTATAAGCTGGCACAAGGGACAAAATTAGAGGGAAGTTGAACGAGTGCCGTGCGCTTTATTAGCTTGGCAGCCATAATTTTGACCTTGCTGTGGGTTAAAGGACACAGACCTGAGAAGAAATCTGTTTATCATGTAGGGAATTCATGCCATCCCTGACAGTGTACAGTGAACAAGATGGATGATCTGCCAAATTGGTCCCTCGCATGGGTGAATCAGGGCAAATTTACTGTACAATTCCTTTGCTGCTCCCGATACAAAAATAACGTTTGCGGGGGTTTATTCGGTTGTGTGCTGACCCAGGGTGAGCAGAGAAAAGAAATAGGATTTGCAGGATGCTGATTACCTTAAAGATTTATATGCACCTCGCTTTCCTTTATGTCTGCCTCTTTTGCATCTCTCATAAAGCACTAAGGAAAAAGTCAGATTTTTTGGTTTGAGAGAGCAACTTTATGTGAGTGTCAGGGAGCCTCTTGAGTGCAGCATGTGGAAGCTTCCAGTACCCTGAACAAGAGTTATTCTGTGCACCTTGCCTCATTTGAGTCTGACTTTTACTTCTGTAGTATTTCCCCTTGGTGTTTGGGATGTGTTTCCATGCTGTGTGTTCTGTGATTATTTGACATTGATAAATATTGATAAATATTCTGGATAACAAACAAACCGAAAAAAAATAGTGAATTTTGCTCTCGGCCATTGCCATGGCAGTGATGGGACTGGATGAGGGGAGAGAACCCTCTCATAGCAGCACTGCAGGGCCCAGTAAGCACAGTTTTGGAGGAGTCTGGCCTCATCCTGCAGAGAGCTGGAGACAAACCCACTGATGGATGAAGCTGAGATCCGTGAGATTAACCGTGTCAGGTCAGGAGATGGGAGACAGCAAGGAGGAGGAAGCAGCTCCACAAAAATGGGAAAGAACTGGATGGAGAAATCACGAGCTCTTTATCTTTTGAGGGGAATTGTTCTTGTAAACCTCGTTGTCTACGTGTTGTTGCTTTTAAAAATGTTCAGACTGTACCCTTAGATGTCTGGATTCTCTGGATAAGCTCAGTCAGTACATTCTGTTAGAGATAAATTTATTGGGGGAAAACATTCTGTACAGAACCTATTGTTGTTGGCAAATTAACAGATTGGGAAAGCTTTCTTTTAAACCAAGTGTCACAATAACAGATTTGGGTGTCTCCTGATCCACTCACTATCTTTATGTTGGATTCTCAAATGTGTTAATTAATACAGCATAATTACAAACTGTATTTTAATCTTGTTATTTCTGGACAAAGAGAATTGCAAAAATGTGATGCATGTGATAAGACACAAAATGAAATCAATAACACTCTCAAGATATAGAGTTGTATCAGTTGTAGAAAATCCCTCATTGGCACCACAAAACAGTGGCTCAGTGAGTTTCCTGCAAGTCACAAAAGGAAGCTTAAACCAGTCTATAATGGCAGCTTTAAAAACATCTTTATATAAAAGTGGTGTGGCAAGCAAAACTGTGAGATTTCCTGACCAAGGAAATTGCTTGCAAACTTACAGAGTATTGCACTCCAGTTTTTCCTGATTTTTATTTGTATTTGTACATCTTGTCTTTATAAGAAATCAGAGATGACTCAAGATAAAATTAGAAAATAATTCTGGTTTTAAGAAGAGGTTTTTTAGTACCCAAGTCATAGCAAGTAGAATTTTGCATACTTAGGCATTTCTTTAAGTAGGTAGAATATAAATGAGAAGGAAAGTTAAATATCCTGCAATCAAAACATTACAATTATGCTAAAGCAGGGCCTTTTTTCTCTTTTTTTTTTTTTTCAATTACAGAAAGTACTCCAAAGACTTCTGCCAGTTGCAGTCCTGCTCCTGAATCTCCCATGAGTTCCAGTGAGTCAGTGAAAAGCCTGACTGAACTGGTGCAGCAGCCCTGCCCCGCTATAGAGACAAGTAAGGATGGCAAATCCCAAGAATCCAGCGAGCCGCCGGCTTCCGAATCCCAATCCACGACCCCTTTGCCGCTGTCGGGCCACTCGGCACTGAGCATCCAGGAACTGGTGGCCATGTCCCCTGAGCTGGACACCTATGGCATCACAAAGAGGGTCAAGGAAGTGCTAACGGACAACAATCTTGGTAAATCGCTTTATTCTCGTTTCTTGACCGAAATAACGTGTAAGTGCTTTTGGTTTTGAGCTGTAGTTCGGTAGATGTTTGCGAGAATACTCCGGCCCAAGCTTTAATTTGTGAAGAAGATATTTGGGGTTTTTTTAAGCTGGTAGAAAAATCCTTTCAGATTGTCACACTCTACTTAAAATGTCATCACGCCCTGGCTCTTCCTAAGCTCTGCTCCTGGCTCACCAGCCAGGTACTGCTCCCACCTCCCGAAGTACAGTCCAGCAGGCTGTCAGGACAACCAGAACCCCAAAACCAGCGAGAGCTCTCTTTGGAAAAGAGGCTGTTTTCCCCATGCTTACAGATTCAAGGCCCAGCATTTTGGGCACAGGTGAGGTAGAGGAGCCCAGCATGGTTGGAGAGGGAGAGGCATCACAGGCAAAAGCACAGTGTTACCCGTAGAGCTGGGAGGGTAAATCCAGACTCAGCTGAGGTTTAGATGAGCCTGTAGATCACTGCACAGGGCCATTCAGTTACTTTGCTTAGAGATGTGCAAAACTGAGTCTGCTTTTGCCTACAGATGAGTTTTGGGGTGTTGAATTCATTGTCATGTTGACATGACTCTGTGTGTGGAATAGTCAAAGGGAATAACCTGATCTGAGTACAGGAAGTCCACATTAATTAATGCTGCCACTGTGCCTCTAAATTACTGGTTCTTCATATGTCTTTAGCACTTGCTTCCCTCACAAGGCTTTGGGAAACCTTTAGGGGTCCTTTGAGTCTGTGGCAGGAGGGCAGCAAGGCTGTCCCAGTGTTACCTGCTCCTGCTTCTGGGGCTTAGCAAGGGATTCATCTCACCCTCTGTTAGGTGTTCAAAATAACATCTGGGACTCTCCAGAGGTACCAGAATTCTCTTCACCACAAATGGGACCAAAAAGATAAGTTTACATTTAGACTGACAGTGATACTTAGGTGAGAAGAATTTTGTCCATGTCATCTGAACATTATGACTGTAAAAGCAAAAACTCCTCTGTTTTAGTATGTAAGGAAGCCTTTTTTTTCATCTAGACACAGAATAAATGTTATTATCTCAGATTATTTTTCTAAGGGGAAAAGTACCAGGAGGGGGGAGATTTCAAGTTCTCATTTAACAGAATTTGGAAAAAAAAAAAAAAAAAAAGAAAAAAAAGAAAATGGCCTTGATCCTTGATCATGGACACACCCTGCATGAGATTGTGTTCCACTGAGCCCAGCAGAATTCCTTGTCCATGCACACTGGCATGGGCACATGGTGGTTCCTTGTTCAGTGGAGATAACATAGGGATAAAGCTTTAAGTCATGATCAGGGTTTGTAGGTCTAAGCCCCTGGTTTTTGAGCAAAATGCTGTTGAGTGCTGTACCTGCTCTGGTGTTCCAGAGAGGTTTGAAAAAGTATTTTTGTTTACATTTGCTTTGATGCCATTTTTACTTAGTCTTTTTTATTTCCCATGATTTTTGTTTTCCTACAGTGTGGCTGACAAGCCTAAAAAGCAGCAGAAGAGCCAGGAAATGTGCCCCAAACTCTGCATTAGGTGTGGAACCAGTTTCAATGTCTCCTTTTGTGCCCTCAGTGTGCTAGTGCACCAGATTGACTGGTGCACAGGTTTCTCTGTCTTAGGCCACGGGGCCTTGTTCAACTCTCACCAGTCAGGGGAATGGCTTTAAACTGAAAGAGAGGTTTAGATGGGATAATAGGAAGAAATTCTTCCCTGTGAGGGTGGGGAGGCCCTGGCACAGGTTGCCCAGAGAAGCTGTGGCTGCCCCATCCCTGGAAGTGTCCAAGGCCAGGTTGGATGGTGCTTGGAGCAACCTGGGCTAGTGGAGGGTTCCCTGCCCATGGCAGGGGGGGAGCAAGATGGTCTTTAAGGTCCCTTATCACTGAATGATGATTCTGTGATTTCAGAAAACAGTTAACATGGATATGTTGCCCCAAATGTCAGAGTATCTTCAGTGATTCCCTGTTGGGCAACATGTAACTTAGAGAGGGAAGCAGATGCCCTGAGCTGTTGTAGGATTACAGTGGTGGGTATTTTGTAGAAAGGGCCAGGACTGTCCATGAAACCAACGCAGAAAGTTTTGTCCATCAGTGGAACAGGCATGAAGGATGAGGAGAAGTTTTAGGAAACCTGTGCTTAAAAATATTCCCGCTATTAATAGTGCTCTGATGAAGATGGAGCGTGATACACCTGCTGCCTGCTGAGGATGATTCCTAACACCTTCCCCATTAGCTTGGGAGGCTTTCAGGTGTTTTATCCCCTCCTGCCATATCCTGGAATAATATAAATGACATAAACATCTTTAGCTTTGTTCTTAACACCTAGAGAACATGATGTTACCTCCTTCCACCTTTGCATTTTTAATTTCTAGGGTGTAGTTTGAGGTTCATTTCCTTCAGCAGCGCTGTTAGTACCCGATCTGGGCTGCTCATTCCCAACCCTTTTGCAAATTTGTGCCCATATTCCTGTTCGTGTGGCCACACAATAACAGATTTTTAAAGTAGCTGTCTTATCTTGCTGGTAGCTGGCAGGTTTACAGGGAAATGGATGAGGCCTTAACTGATGTTTTTAAACACAAACAGGGAGCAGGTTACCCCAGCAATACACGAGATAAAATTGGCCTTGAATTACCTCTTTTGTCTGATTTTCCTGATACTGAGGGTAATGGAAAATCACTTATTACTTAGGAACTTAAGTGAATTCTGCATGTAGGTTTCTGATCAGTCTGTAAGAACCATTTTCAGTGTTAGTTTTAGAGCTTATTAGCAGAGTGTCATGTTAAGCCCTGTCTTCCTTTCCCCTCTCTGCCTCTCATCTCAGCTGCTTCCTCCAAAAGCTTTGCAGACCCACCTGCCCCACTCATCTGAATGGACACTGTTCATCTTCTGACTGGTCCCACGTTCCCTTCTCTCCCCATACAGACAAACAAAAATCACCAAAAGCAGTCTTGGGATATTTTTAACGAGAATGAGGAGGAGATCCTGGAGTTAAGCACAGAGAATAGGTCTATAGAGCAGGTGTTTTCCATGACCTGTTTGTGTCAGGATCAGGTGAGGTTGTGAAGGCAAGAGCTGATGGTGTGGGCATGTCCTGCAGAGCTGTAGGGTCGTTAGCCCCCACTCATCCCTGTTGTCCCTTAGGAATCTGTTGGTTGGCACTGGCTCAGAGTGCTGGGAAGTGAAGGGAAAGTGTTCTGTTGTGTGTTAGTGAGGGCACTCAAAAGCTACAGATCAGACACGGGACCCCAAGGCCCAAACTTGGGGGGTATGGGAAGATCTTTGGGTTACCTTGAAATTCCATAATGGCAGGGCTTCTGTCTTAAATCACCTAGGTGACTCAGATGACCCCAGGCTCTCTCTTGTAGCACAAGCTGTTGGGATCAAGGCAGTTCAGCTCAGGGAGAACGCTGAAGTGAAGGGGTTTAGAAAACCAGCTCTGTGGTTGGGTTCGAGCTGCACAGGGATTTTCCCCAGTCCTTGATAAGATAGACCTTAACCATATAAAGTCAGTGTCACCAGTGCACTCACAGATGCTGTGCACTGAAAGGCATTTGCAGATGTCACCCTGATAAAACGACAGCATTTTGAAAGAGAACTAAAACTAAGTATCCTGAACCAGAAGTACTGTAGAGGCTGTAAAAAAACCTGTAATACTGTAGATTGTGATTATCTCTGGTTGGTGAGACAACAGTTAGAACCCCACAGATAGTACAGCACAGAAAATACATACACGTGTCTGTGAGGACACTGCTGAAGGTGGGGGGGTTGCACTGGTCTTGGTTCATTAATTGCTGGAAATGTTTGGATTGCCCTGTTGGAATGAAGCTGTGGCACTGCCCTCCTGCATAAGAGCTAAGGAGCCTCTCTGCTCTCACTAGTTGCCTGCTTAGCTGGAAGTTCAGTTCACTTTTCAGCTCCTTAATTTTATTTTTTGCACACTGTCTCGCTGTAAGGTCCCGGTCCCCAAACGTGTGTCTCAGGCAGATCCCAAGGATTAAATTAAAGCTCAATATTTACCCTTTCAGTGGGGGGGCAGAGCTTTTATCCTCCTAAATGTTTCTTTTGGGGTTTTCAAGCCCTTCTGAAGTAAGAACAATTGCCGAGCGGTCTGGTAGAACGTGTTCTTTCCGGCGAGCCCCTCGGCTGAGTGAACTCACGCGCTTCTCGATTTCGTATTAGGTCAGCGTTTGTTCGGGGAGACAATCCTAGGCCTAACACAAGGCTCTGTCTCAGACCTTCTGGCTCGCCCGAAGCCCTGGCACAAGCTGAGTCTGAAGGGACGGGAGCCCTTTGTCCGCATGCAGCTGTGGCTGAACGATCCCAACAACGTGGAGAAGCTGATGGATATGAAACGAATGGAGAAAAAAGGTAACTCGGGGCGCCGGTGCTGACTCATGTTTTCCGTCCTCTCGAAGATCAGCGTGTCTTTTAGAACTCTCCATAAATAGTAGAGAGGCAGCATTGATCCAGTATTACGAAGGTTATGCAAAAGGACTTCGTGGCAGCTTTTCCAGAGCTTTATTTGATGCTTGCTCAAGCAGATACATCTCAGAAGGAAAGAAATGTTAAAAAAAAACCCCGACAACAACAAAGCCAAACAAAAAAAAAACAACCCCAAACCCTGAATATTCACCAGCTACTGGGAAATCATTGCTATATTCTCCTGTAGATTAATTACTGAGGCCCTGGGGTAGCACTGATAACTTGCCTTACCAAATGAGAAATGCAAGTTTGGGGCTGGCTTTGGGTTATTAGTTAATAGTGCTGCAGCTGGTCACAGATGTTGGGCTGGAAGAACTGTGCATTGATTCCTGAGAGAGCTTCTTGCCAGTCCTGCACTGATGGTCTCTAGGAGAAAAGAAAAATGCAGCCTTTATAAAAGGGTGTTTGAGAAAAATTATATTTGTAGCCTTTATGGAGAGGGGGGAAGGTGATTGTGTTAGTACATGCTCACATAAAACAAGGTCGTGAGGGTGGACCTGTGAAAGAATCTGAGTTGTTGTTGGGTATCTTAGTAGGGAGCATATCCTGCACATTTATCCTACTTCTCTCTATTTGAAATTCCTTACTAAAGACCAGTGGTTATTCAGAGCCCTGTTTTTAGTACGTTTGTGTGATTTTACAAGAGAGACTCAGAGGCTGCCATTATCAGCAGTTAACTAATTAATGATATATACATCTCTCGAGCTATCCCTTAATGATATTAGCACAGACATCATTAATCGTGTACACTGAAAGCACTGCTGTTGACTGATGTTCTGAAAGCATTTACACATTTGATCAAGAACTTGGTGATTATATTTAAAATTGCAGTGAGGGAGCTTCTGGGAAAATTACAGTCTTGCAGGCTTTTAAGAAGAAATTCAAATCCTCATCACAGTGTAATATAAAGCAGTGCAGTATCTTATCACAGATTGTGAGTGATCTTCCATGGGGAGTAAAATCCACTTGGGTTTCCCACCTCCAACTGTAAACCAAAGGGAACCATGAGGGGTTTTGCTGTATTAGAAAAGTGGCAGAAATAAAATTGTCAGCTAGCTGGATTTTTATAGCCTCGAAGAGAATATTGCCCATAATGCAGGAAAATAAAATCAAAATAATTTAAAAGTAGTGTTGACAATATCCTTTCAAAACTATTTTCTAAACTGGATTCTTATCAAACAGTGAGCAATACATATGCTCTGTAGATGGTACCTGAATAGAGATAAGGCCATAAATCATTGAGACTCTGCACTGAGCTCCTGAGCTGTTCAAGTGCTGTCCTCAGAGCAGTCTGAAGTGAATTCAGACCTGTATTTCCTGCAAAATCCTTTCATGCAGGTAAGGATCCTGTGATTTAACCTTTTAAATTGCTCTAGAGCCACATTAAGAATTTAACTTTCCCTTCAGCTAATGTCAGTTAAAGAACAATGCGCCTGGATCTGCTTCCAGTGAAACATTATTATCAATTATTTCTCTGCCACATTTTATTAAGGGAGTAAATTAATAATTATGATAAAGGTGAGCTGCATATATCTTTTTTTTTTTTTTTCTGTTCCGCCAGGCTGAAGTTTGTGCTATAAATGTCCATTTTAAAATGGTTCTGAAAATTTGCAATGTACATTAACCACCCTCTTTGGAGGAAGCCAGGGGTGCAGGCTCACCAGGCTGAGACACTTTGCACACCTTTCCTGCCTTGCAGGAGTTCATTCCTCTCATAACCTGCCAGGCTGTGTGTGTGCTGCTGGCAGCATCACACTCTTCACAGAACAGCCCTGAATCCTGCTGGCAGGAGAATATTTAATTCCCCTCATTTCCCCATTATTTTGCCTTGTAATAATCTTGTTCAATACCACATAAGATAAAAATTATGGTGAGGGGGAAAAAAGGTGTAAATCAGGGGATAGAGTTGGCTTTGACAAGTCAGTCTCAGACCCAGATCCAGACCTTTGCCCAAATTACATCTGGGTTTCTTTTTTTTTTTCATATGTCTCCTGAGAAGTGGAGACTGGTCACAGACAAAAATCAAGCTTCTCCAAAAATAAAGTGTGTTTGCAACTTGAATTCCAGTTTGAGCCTTGCTGTCACTGCAAATGTGCTGAATGATCTCCTTATGCTGTCTACACACAGCACATATGTTTGAAATAAAAATTAAAATGGAAAAGCTCTTATAAATGTCATCTGAGTTTCCAGAGACCAGCATTAAACCCTAAATAAAGCCTGGGTGCTAGTTCTGCCTTTGGCCCAATGGAAATTTGTTCTGATAATTGATTATCCCCCAGAAAACAATTGCTGCTGACAGAGCAGTGGGGACACCCTCCTCTTTATTTTTATGTTAATGAAATGTGAGCATTTATAGAATTTGTTTCATTCCCATGAGAGCAGCCTAAATCAGCCACTGCACCTTTGGTGATCCCAGTGTGAGGTTCCAGGAGCAGAGGTAGGGATACCCTGAGCACCTTTTTACATCTTCCATGCCAGGTTCTGTTTTGTCTCATGGCCTTCTTGAAGTTGCTGCCCATTGCTCAGGTGATGGATGTTGTCCTCCAGCCTCTTGGTTCTGCTATCCAAGGAGACAAGGGAGCCTTGTCTGTAGTTTGCATGTCAGTGCAAGTTGGAAATAACATCTAGGAAGGAGTCTTGAGATTAAAAACCTTATAGAAATGTGAGATTCTCTTGCTGGAATGATTAATTCCATGGTAGAAGGTTGTTACAGCTCCTTGAAGGCTGCAAAAATAAGGCCAATGGGTCACCTTGAAATAATGCAGAATCTTTGCTGTTCTGCATCTGGTTGGAACAACTTCAATAGGTGGGTTTTTAAGGAAATTTATTTTAAAACAAAAACACTTTGGTTTTTTATGGTTTTTTCAAACGTGTGCAGGACTGTATCACGTCAGAGTGATGGATCACGAGCATCTCACGTTCTGTTCCATGCCAGTGATCTTACACAGCAGGCAATCCACAGGTAATCTGTCATATTCAGGAAAAACAAAATGCAGGCCATGCAGATACCCCCAAAGGTTACAGAGTTGCTCAGAATTCACTTCAGTGATAGTAAGACACAGCGTAAAAGGTCCCACTGGAGGTGCCAGCGTGTAGAGGACACGATGCTGGAACCCACTGGAGCCAGAAAACCCGGCCAGTCCTGGAGGGAGCTCTGCCAGCAGAAGTTGGCCAGTGTGAGCAGGGCTTTGAACACTGCAGTTTATTTGATTGCATTGTATTTTTATTCTTTGTGCACCCTCAGCTTGAAGGCAGAGCTGTGGGGAGAGAGGAATTGATTTCTTTGAAGAATTTGGTTGCTGACCGGTGTGACGTGCCCCACGTTAGTCCCTGGCTCCAACCAGAGCTCCTGGCTCTTGGAGATTTAGTGCCTGCTAGATTGATGTCAGGCTGGTGTAGTCTGGAATTTAATAGCCAAGGTTATCAAATTGCAGCTCTCGAATACCTAAACTCTTAAATATCTAGAAGGTATTTAACAGGCCATTAAAGATTTTATTGACAAGATTCATCTATATTTGCTGTTTTCAGCCCCCTCATTAGCAATGCTTGTGCATGATACTGCCAGGTGCAGTAAATCCCACCTCTCTGTGCCTGGTGTAAATCAATCAAGTCAGTGACAGCGTTTGCTGGGACTCTTTCCTTGCGGGATTTGCCAGGATAATTCACTCCCCGTCGGGGAGGAGGGTCAGTGGCAGGATCACAGCCTCACCGAGCTCCATCAGTGCAGTGAGAGCTTTCTTGAAAGTACATGTGTTTTGGAGGGAGCTTTGTGTAGGGGAGGAGGAGGGTGCTGGGGGCTGGTTATCTTTCATAACCTGTCACTGCCGTAGTGAAGAGCTGTAGGAAAAGGCAGCACAGCCCATCACTGGGATCTCTGAGCTCCAAGCGCCATCGTGTGTTGGAGATGGTGTGGGAAGGCAGGAAAGGCTGCCTTCCACTTCCACGGTCATATTTTTCCTTCAGAGACCTTAGTGTTAGAGAGACCTTCGTGCACATCTGAAATGTTTTTACCACCAAACTCGTTTCAGCTGAAATGAAGTGCGACTGTCCCGATCAGGTGCTCACATGGGAGTTCTGCTCTCAAAAGAGTGAATTTGAAATGAGTCCTGTGAACTGAACCCTGTCATTCGTGTCCCACATTCGTTGAAAAAGCAGAAGACCCTGGCAGGTTTCCAGTTGATCTACCCTCTTTTCTGCTCTTTCTGCCTCTTGCATCCTCCCCGTGTTTGCTCTCCTCTGGTCTCTGGTGATGCCCCGAGTAGCCCATCCGTGCATCTACAACCTGTCACCTCCGTGTTTATCCCGCAGCTCGTGCACTCATTGATTTTGCATTTGTATTCAGCCGGGGCTGATCCAATGTGCTTCTCTTTCAGCCTACATGAAACGGCGACACAGCTCTGTCAGCGACAGTCAGTCCTGCGAGTCCTCATCCGCTGGCATCGACTACAGCCAGGGGGCCAGCCCACAGCCCCAGCACCAGCTCAAGAAGCCCCGGGTGGTGCTGGCACCAGAGGAGAAGGAAGCTCTGAAACGAGCCTACCAGCAAAAGCCATACCCATCACCAAAAACCATTGAGGAACTCGCTACGCAGCTCAACTTGAAAACCAGCACCGTGATCAACTGGTTCCACAATTACAGGTATGTGATCTCCCGGGAGCCCTGCTCCTCAGGGGTTTGTTGGGTTTGCTTTGGCAGGGTGCTGCTCTGCTCCAGCAGACTGTGTCTGCTTCCACCAGCACCGGGGGGTTGTATAAGATGAACGGTTTCGACAGCAGGGAGGTTCTGACTAACGTGGTGCTAATGCTCCAGACTGATTTTAAGTCATCCCTGAGGAGCAGCAATATTCACATATTGATGGAAGTAGTGCTTTTAAACTGAAAGTCTCGCTTTTGGGGTGGGCGTGGATGTAGAGATGTCCACTGATGAATATTTATAAACCCACTGCAGTAGGCAAGGCTGCTCTGTCTGACTCACATAGGCACACTCACACGTGTTAGGGAGGTGTTGTGGGTGTTATCCCTGGGTCACTGGATGGGGGGTGCTTGGAAGTGTCCGGATGGCATCAGAATTGTCCTGCTTTCATTGTGTTGTTTTCCTGCATGAGAGCAAAAAAGAGAATTTTCTTTTAGGTCTTGAGCCACTGAGAGCTCTGAAAATAGGTATAGTGTGTTTTTGGGAAGCTCTATAGAGTCATGAAGGACAGAGAACTGATAACCCTGATATCAGATGTGGCCACAGAGAGGGACTTCTTACAAGGGCATGTAGTGACAGGACAGGGGGGAGTGGCTTTAAACTGACAGAGGGCAGTGTTGGATGGGATATTGGGAAGAAATTCTTCCCTGTGAGGGTGGTGAGGCCCTGGCACAGGTTGCCCAGAGGACCTGTGGCTGCCCCATCCCTGGAAGTGTCCAAGGGCAGGTTGGATGGGGCTTGGAGCAACCTGGGCTAGTGGAAGGTGTCCCTGCCCATGGCAGAGGGGTGGAATGAGATGGTGTTTAATGTCCTTTCCATCCCAAACCACGATCTGTAATTCTATGATTTATTTCACTGTTGTGATTTAATCATTGAGCTCCACTAAAATGAAATAAGATGTTGATCTGTTCAGTGCCTTTCTCACTTGAGAGGGAACCTTCTCCACCTTCAAACCACTGAAGTAGGTTTTGGCCTAGAGACAGCAATAAAAAGAAACAACACCAGAACAGCATATAAGAATTATAAGGATTTGAATAAACATATTATCAACTGTGCTTGGGATTGGGAATCTTAATTAGTGCAGCAGACTTTTCTCCAAGATATTTGTGCTAATGAATATTGAACAGGTACAGTTAAGCTACCAGATTTAATACTATTCTGCTCCTTCAGTCAGAGCCAGCAATGTTCCTAATTAGTCCAGACTGCTAAACTTGTTTGTTTTTAGAAACTGCTAACATTTCAAGGGTATTTTTCACTTTAGCCCTTCTCATCTTTTACCAGGGAAGTTGCTGAAGCAGAAGCAACAGAGTTTAATGAGATATCTCAGAAATATTATGCACAACAGTTAAATAATGTTTGTAGTAAACTATACAAAATTTTAAAATTATAACCAAGAAATAATCACGTTTACACTGAGTTTCCCTGCCTTGAACTCGGTGCAGACGCAGCATCTTCCGCCGCTCAGAGTTCTCCAAACACAGGCCTCTTCCAGTTCCCACTTCCAGGCAATTATACACAAGTTGGAGGAATGCCTGTGAAAATAACGTTCCCCTCGGCCTGACAGCAAGATGTGCTGTTCTCACTTAGGCAGACGAGCACAGGGCACTGGTGGCACTGGTGGCATGTGTCACCTCCCTCGTTCCCACAGGCTGCCCTGCCCGGGAACGTGCTCGGCCACGGAGGGGAGGTGCTGACAGCTGTATGCAAAATAAAAACACCTCTAAACAAGGGGCTGTGGGCTGCTGGGCAGCACAAACCCGGGTGCTGAGCGATCTGGACCTGCTCCCAGATGTGCTGCTGAGACTCCGGGAGTTTTAAGAGCTCCTTCAAGCCTGTTTGGAGCCCTGGGTGCTCTGAGCAGTTGGCACCACTGAAAAATCAAAACACATCCCTGTTCCTTTCCTCTGTACAGTAACTTTCTTAGCTTTCATGCATGGAGTACTCTTAAATAATTTGTAGGACACTGCAGAAGAGGTACAGGTTTTATGTTCTGCAAGGGGAGCAGGGTCTGACCGTTCTGCAGCTCATGTGTTGTAAGAAATGGGTGGTCTTTCCCCTGTTCATCTTCTCCAGGCCACACTTTAATTTATTTATCTCTTGTATACTCTCCCTCAGCCATTTCTTTTCCAAACTGAAGAGTTTTCATGCAGAAGCAGTTCCACATCTCAAGCCATCTGCTAAATTCTTTAATGTTAATTTTTACTTAAAATAACTTCAGATAAGGCAGGGCACAGATTTGGACAGGTTTGTCTTCCCGTCTCCTGGGAATCCTGTTGCAGTGATGCTTTTCCTTTCAGGTTCAGCCCAAATCTCACTTTTCCAGAGGTGGTTGATGCAGCAAGATCTACCTTTATGTCCACCAGACGGAAATTCAGCATTAGTATTTATTTTCTGCAGCAAAAAGAAACTTAAAAAAAAATCCTCAGCAGGCAAAGAAATAATTCACTTCAGAATATAAATAGGTATAAAGGATTTTGATATATCTGTGAACTTTCCAAGTCTGTGGCTTTACACCTTACCAGTCACATAGCTCTCAAAATATTAAATAAATATCCCTTACTTTGCATTAGTGAAGCACATACAGGACACACGAGAGTTCGAGGCTCTGTTGTCTTAAAAATATCACAAAAGAGTGGGAGGAAGGAATTTCTGTCCCACTTCACCTGTGGAAACTGGCACATAAATTCAGTAGGGTCACAGAGATGATACTACAGGCCCATCAGGAATTAAACCAGACTTTCTGGAATTGTAATCCCAAATTCTGAGCACATTTTTCAATGAACTCTGTGTTGTGCTTGCTCTGATGTTGTCCAGGGAACTGCAGCAAACACCCCAGGAGATGGCTGACGTTTTGAGTTACACTGATAAATGCCAACAGGGTGTGTGGATGTCGAGGCCAACACCTTCCACCAACAGGAATGCCCTCTGGAATTTTCTAGCTGCTGTCACCAGTTCTTCTTTACCATAGGGATTTAATTACTATGTTAATCAGGAGCCAGACTAGATTCCAGAAGCAATATATTGGGTGTGAATTCCGGGGATTTCCCCAGACGTGGAACTGATGTTTGGTCAGATACTGGGTGAGGATGTCAGCATTCAGTACCTGCTGGAGCAGAGGTATTTTAAATGCCATGCAGGCACCAAGCTCTTATCAGTTTCCTCTCCTGACTTGGGGAACGTTACAGAAGCAGTGTGTTCTGGATCAATGTCCATGCAGGGAGATTACAGGCTCAAAGAGAGCCTGATAATCGATGTTGCAGGATGCATGCAGTTAATGGTAATGGAAAATTAATGTTAGCACCTGTGGTCTTCTGTTAGGTGAGTAATATTCTCCCAGGGAAAATTACAGACCCCCTAAATCCTTCAGAAGTGTGGAGTCAGCAATACTGCTGAAATACTCGGTTGCATTTCAAATAAGTCAATAATATCATTAGTTTCAAAAGCTGTATTCAGATGGTGTTCTGCATTTGGCCTAATGTTTTTCCATTGTGTGCTGTCTTCCACAGCACGTTTAAGGAGAAATGGAAAATCCATACAGCTGTCAGTGTTGGGACAGCATTTCCCTACAAGCCCTGTAGCAGTTCCCCATGGCTGAAACCCAAAAGTGTTACCTTCACTCTGAAAGATAAAGTTTTGCTAAACCCTGCCTGTGCCTGTGGTCTCATCCCTGGCCCTGGGTCATTGAGGCTCCCTCTTGGTTATAGATTAGGACCTGAATGGTGTTCATCACCTCTCCCAGATGGAGCAGAACAGAGAAGGGGTTAGCCCAGACCCTAAGGCTTTTTCATAAACTGTTCCCTACTTGTGAGGAATTTGGGAGCTCCTAAACAGAGAAGATGAGGGAGGACAGACCAAGTTAAATGGCAAGGTGCTGTATTTGGGGTATTCTTGCACCGCTCAAGTAGTAGGAAGAGCAAGGTGGCACATTGGGCAACTTTACCCACACGTGGAGTGCATTCATTCCCATGAAATGCTCTGCCTGGCTTGTCACTATTCATGTTCTGAAATTGATTTTTTAAATAAAAAATGAGGCAGAAGTCAGACTAGCTCATAGACTGGCAGCCTGTAAAAAGCCAGGGCTTCCCCACAGCACTTTCATCACAACTCACTTGGTTTCATCTTTGTTTGTCCTTGCTGCCCAGGAGAACACCAAAGGGTTTATCCAGAATTTTTCCTGATTTATTTTTTGTTTAGGCACACTGGGCTCATTTCTAGGAAAGCTCTGAGTTGGTTTGTATTTACAAGGCATTTTCTTCTCCTAGAAATGCATTTATTTTCTTTATGAAAAACATGGATACATTTCCCACCAGGGAAAATGGCGGAGTCACCATCCCTGGAAGCGCTCCAAAAACTGATCAGTGTGGCGATACGATTTGGTGGGCGTGGTGGTGCTTGGGTGAGGTTGGACTCAGTGATCTTGGAAGTCTTCTCCAGCCTTAATGATTCCGTGAATTCCATGAGAGGGCGTTTTGAGCGGCGTCTCTGGTGTGGGTGAGCGGCTCCGCGCGGCCCGGCAGACTCACATCCCTCTCCCCTGTCCCGCAGGTCTCGCATCCGCCGGGAGCTGTTCATCGAGGAGATCCAAGCCGGGAGCCAGAGCCAGGCTGGGTCGAGCGACTCTCCGTCGGCCAGGAGCAGCAGGGCGGCTCACAGCTCCGAGGGGGACAGCTGCGACGGCGTGGACGCGGAAGGCCCTCCCGAGGGGAAGCCGAGTGGCCCGGAGGCGGATGAGTACAGCAATGCAACCGCAAAGTCTCAGGGAGGGCCCGCCGAGCCGGCTTTCGAGGCGGGGGAAGAGGCACTGCAAGGCGCCAGGTCTTCGGAGAAAGCGGAGCCGTTCCAGGCCGAGAGCCTGGAGGACACCGACGACGAGGGCCGGCTCAGAGCACCGCGCCAGAGCTCCCCGCCGGCACCGCAGCGCCCGGGAGAAGCTCTGGAGACACTGCCAAACTCTGCCACGGAAGGGGATGCCTCTACCTCAGCTGCCTCCACCTCAGTCCTTACGGGGGAGAGCTCCTACAAGTCAAAAGAAAGTTCGGAGAAAACCTCCAGTGTGCCAAGTACGAGCTCGACGCCGGCCGCAGGCTCGCAGAAAGCCAACTCTCTCCAGAGCTTGTTCGGCTTCTCGGAGGCGGCGAGCTCCAGGAACACGCGAGACAGCTCCTTGAGGAAAAAGAAAGCGGCCAACTTGAACAACATCATCCACCGCTTGGAGAAGGCCGCGAGTCGGGAAGAGGCCGTCGAGTGGGAGTTTTGAGATTAAACTGGCCCAACTCGGGAGAGCTGGGAAGTCAAACTGGACCTCTACTGGTTTTATTGTGTTCGCACTTAACCGCCCTGCGGGCCACAGGGCAAAAACGCCATAGGCCAAGGTGCATATAGAAATCAAAAAGGAGCGTTAAGCCCAATTTATGTTTGTGTTTTCGAGGAAGAAAACTGAAATGTGTAGTCGAGCTTTTTTGTACCCTGAAGTGTTTTTATTATTGCCCTAAGTGATTTCCACGATTTCTGGAATAACTCATACAGCTTTGCCTTGTGCCCTCCTCTTTGGTGTGGGGCTTTAAAAAAATGAAAAACGGAAAAAGAAAAGAAAAAAAAAAACTAAAAAGGAAAAAAAAAAAACTTAAAAAAAAAATCAAACCCACATATTAAAAGGGGGCTTTTTATCTGCCATCTAATGGCTACAGAGCGATAATACACTATTATCTTCTTAAACCAGGAAAAAAGGGGAGATTTTTCAAAAAAAAGAAAAAAAAAGAAAGTTTTTTGTAGCTGTTCAGTTGCCACTAAGAGATTGCACAGTCAACCGACTCTAAACACACTAGTTTGGATTCCTACATATTTTCAAGAAAAGAAAAGAATCTTGTTGTTTGAAACTTTGAATTAAAAAAAAAAAAACACATTTACTCCACATATTTTTTAACAAAACAAAAAAAAAAGTCACATCAGGAAAATATCTTAATTTGTGGTAGCTGACTTAGTGTTTTCTTGTAAGTGAAATAGAATATTGACACGTAGTGCACATTGTTTCATAGCTTTAACTGATTCTGGTCTTTTGCAGCCCAGAATTTGTTTAATACACTCCATTTTAGGCCAAATCAGGACAAAAAAAAAAAATCTGAATCTAGGTATTTTATAATCTGCTTTTTAACCTCTAACCACAGAGCACGCTGATCAGACCTCATATCTAGGAGGTTTAGGAGACAACTTAGAAACAGCATGTACTTGATCATTTCACTTGGTTCGTAGTGTACAGGATTTCCTCTCAGCAAAGACAGATCGCTCCAAAAACGTTGGCCAGTAACATTTCAGCCGCTACTTCGGGGGCGTAGTCCGTATCCCGAATATTCAGCTTGCCTGGAATCGATGGAAAAGCAGTTCACGTGTCCGATTGCTGTCACACACCACTAAGAGGGACTGGAGCTGCCGCAGATCCGGCCCTTTTCCTGCTGTTGGTGGCCATTTACTGACTCTCTTCCCACCACAAGCACTGATTTTAAATACGTTTTAGTTGTGGGAAGCTTATTTTTTTTTTTTGCGTGGATAAAGAGTACATGGCAATGACCAGACGGGCTCTTACCAGGATGGAAGCAGCCCAGACTCCAAACCAAAACCTTCGTGCTCTCGAGTCCCAGTCCAGCCCGTTCTGCCCTGCAGAAATACAGCCTTGGTTGTTTGTTTTTTTTTTTCCCCGTTATTTTATGCACAGGTTAGGGCTGATCAAAGTACAAATCAAATTCTAACTTGTCTCTAACTCCTCCTGTTGTCTATATGTATATGCGTGAGCATAGAGGTGCGTGGAAGGATGTGTGTGCGTGAGTGTGTGCGTGCAATTTTATACGTCTGTGTATTTTCTTACGTACTTGTGCACACATAGAGTGCATTACTGCCACCTTTTTTCAATAAGCTGTTTTATCAGTTATGGCTTCTACAAGTTTGCTAATTTAGACTCCTTTATTGCCATATCTTTAAAACTAACAATAGATGATTTCGGAATATATATATATATATAAATATATATATATATAATTTTTTTTTGCTTATTTATAGGTGCTGTATTTTATTATCTGATTGTTAGGAAGGGATGAAAGGGGGCAAATATTCTTTAGAGGGATAGACTGCCGGCAGTATTGGGTATAATTTACAAGATGTAGTTGTCATACTGTATATTATTGATTGAAGACTTTTTTGACCGTATTGTGTATCATTGAACTTTTGTCTTAGGTCAGCATCTTTTTGATGACACTTTAATGGTGCATTCATTACTTCTTAAGTTTAATTAATATTACTTTTCTGATTTTGGGGGAGGGAGGGATGGGGAGAGGAGTTCCGACTTTAAAGGTATGTTCCCAATATTACACCTCAGTGTGCTTGTATTAATTCATTAGTAGGATTTTTGACTGTAAGATGTGAAACCACATTTCTTGCATGATGTTTTAGAACTTATGTATTTCATTTACAGTCTCTTAACAAGCGACAGCAGCACTTAGCGCAAGTTTTCACAAATTAAGAATCAGTACACTAAAATCCATCCTTTTCCATGATTGAGGAAAGAAGGCTCTAGGAGGCTGAAAGGCAGGGATTTATTTCCGATTTTCACTGCTAGCTGTTTCAGGATTCCTCCTTGGGTAATTGGGGACTTGTGATGCAAAACTCAAACTGAGAAGCGGAGAGAGCAGCTGCCCCTTTCTGTGCTGAGCTGAGGAGAGGATTGGTAGTGACAGACCCCAGTGTGTGACAGCACGTGCTGGGAGCGGTTCTGCCTTCCCACCGGGAGGGCCGTCACTCCCTGGGAACAGCCAGCGAGGGGAGAACGGGGTGAAGCAAAGGGTGACCTCTCTGTACTTGTCCAGTGTCCTGGTTTGACTTCCAAAGCACAGCTCCATCGATAAATGCACGTCCTGGTAAAACACACATACCTTGAAACAAGTCACAACGAGCTGCGTCTTCAGCCAAGAACCAAACCTTCTGGCTGAGAGACGCAGATATTTTCTTATGTTCTTTATTATTATTTTTTTTCTTTGTTGTTGTTTGGTTCAGGTTGGGTTTTTTTTTTTAATTAATTCTAGGCAATACACTTGCCAGTCTGTTCCTACTGTCCTTGTCTGCTGATTTGAGATCCAGGTGCTGGATGCGGTCAAGTGGTTACTCTCGGCTTTCTCCATAGAGAGGGGGTTTTTTTTCTGTTTGATGATTTATTTTTTTTTTTAATTATTTTTTGTTTTTAAATTAATATTCCCCAAACTGTTCTTGTGCCTGTGTCTATCTGATTGCATTCCATGATGCTTACTGAGAGCTCTGGCTGCACTGTACGACAGCAGAACTGTATTCACAGGTCGCACGCAAATGCAGCACTTAAGGTCAATCTCTCTTCTTAATAAGCAATACGTAAGTGCCTTGAAACATATCTTTTTTTTGTTCCCCCCCTGTTTATTTTTGGTTTGCTTTTCAGGTTTCCACCAGTTCTTTAGGATTCTTTAGCGTCTGCCCACTTTTTAATGCTGTAACGATTTTTAAAAAGCATATCTGTAGCTTGCCCTAGAGGAAATCTTCCTTTCATAACACTAACTGTTAATTCTAAGCTCCATTATTACATCTGAGTCATGTAATTTTGCTGGATAAAGACAGCATTCAGAAGTCAGAAGTCGCTCCATCCTGCCAAGGGTCGTCATTGGGATCTATTATGAAATTAATCAAATAAAATGCTGTCAGTATTTCCTATATTTTTGGCACTTTATTAGTGGCTTAGCTCCTTTTGCTGTTTCATATGTAATGATCTGTGTTGAATGTGGATTAGCCTGCTGAGATGCTGCTGGGGTGACCTGGGCCTTGCTGCCTGGAGTCCCTGTGGGTTCCTTGGTGAAGGGGCAGGGGCAGACGAGCAGTCTCAGATCGAGCTCGTGGAGTTTAAGTGATGCTCCCGGTTTTTCCCGGCGTTTAGCCAAGGTCACAGCTGCTTTTCTGTTGGAAAGTAGAATGGATTAGCTTGAACTACTGCTGAGATTCTTGGGTTGGACATGAGTTACCTACTGGCTTTCCAAACTGGCCGAGCCCCCCCCAGTGTAGGGACTGAACTTGCAGCGCAGGGTGTGAGCCATAGTTGGGATCAGGTGCAGCACTTGGAACTCACACTCGGAGGAAAACGTGCATTGGAATAACTTCTTTTACTTCATTAAAAGGACAAAAAGTTGGAGGAGAAGAAATGCCAAAGAGTAGGACAGTGGCTGTCACCCCCTTGGGTCTCTGATTCCGGGGGAAGGGAATGTGTGACGTGGGGCAGAGCCCTCACTGCCAACGTTTCTTTTCCTGATGGATAAAAGCACAGGCAGTTTTCAGAAAATCCATCATGCCAGACTCTGTTTTTTCCCAGGGTTCTTTAAAAGCATTTTATTTTCTCTCTCTGTTTCCAGTTCCATGCTCTTACTAACACCGTGCATGAAGGGCCAGGGCTGTTTTAACAGAAGTACGTTTATATTGCAGTTAAAATTGTCAGTTTTTCTTTCTGGATGGTTAGGGAAGGAAAAAAGTGTAGTGCTTTGTTTGCTAAAAGCCAGCAAAGAGTATCCCTTGGCAGAGGGGTCATACAGTGGGATTGTCAATACACTTCCATTTTTGAGGATACAGATTTCAGAGAACAGGATTGCACATGTTTATTGGCAGAAATGCATTTAATTACAGTTTCTGTTGATGCCATAAAATTGGACCATTTTATTTACTCATCTGTAAAATGCCTGTAGAAAGAGCTGCCCTTTAAAGGAACCTGTGTCAGTGCACTCTGCCCATGTCATGAATTAGTGAGTCCTTTAGTAATAAACTCCTTGCTGTAATAGGAAATATCTATATTGCAGCTGAAAAGAAAAAAAAGAATGTGCCTTTCTCATTAGCTAAAAGATCTTTGCATTATTTTTATGTAACCTGTTGATATGGGAATGGTGTAGAGCAGGAGGGTCATGAACATGACAGAATTCTATGCAATATTCTCTGATCCAATTACTTAAAACTTGCTGTTTTTCAATCATTTATCAGGAGAAATAGTAAGTTAAGGAAGTGCATTGTTCTGGTGGTAGTTCAAACTACAAAGCTGATAAATTGACATAAAATAGGATTGAGGGAAATGTGACAAAATAATGTAATGAAATGGTGGAAAATGCTCACAGTGGTTGCAGTCCCCACTAGCACAGCTGCTGTCAGAAGTCTGTCATTTTTCATGTTAAAATTATTAATTTCAGGTATTCTTAAAGCTTATGTGAATAAAAATGCTCCTGGCAAAAACAGGACAGGTTAGAACCCCCCACACACACCAAAAAAAATCCCCATTTTGACCGTATATAAACTATGAGGACACATGAGAAAAAGTAATTGGGTTTGGACACTTTGCACTTGAATCTGAAATGGTTTATTTAAACTGGAACACCACAGTGATCTGGACCAGTGCCTTTAGCAGGGTTGCAAAGAGATCAGTAATCCTGGCTATTTGTTGCAGACTGAAAGTCAAGTGGTGACATTTTTAACCTGCAGATGGAGGGCACTGTTTTTACTTCATTTGTGTCTCTTAAATCCTCTCTTATTTCCTCTTCACCCAGTGGATTTCCTCTGTCTTAAGCCACGAGTGTGGTTGAGC